TTAAACCCTGACAAAAAAGTTACAGAACAAAGAGTATAACAGCAAATACTACTAACTGCCAAAAACTTCAGTATTTAAACGAGTACACAGCTTTCATTCACTTCAATTGCATATATTAAAAATCCGATGATACCATGTATTTCAAGATACATTTATTCTAAAAATATCTACAGCCTATTATTTACAATATCATAATCATGGGTATTACATCTACAAGTTTTTAAATAAAAACTGTGCCAGAAAAACCAATATACATCAGAATCTAACAACAAGCAGATTTTTATATTGAACCTTGAATATTGCTTTTGAAAATTTTTACAATCTGTTTAATCAGAGCTCTAGATAAGGATGTTTACTGCGTATTCACGCATATTTTTCCTCAAAAAACATTAAAAATCAAATCTAGGTGTACAAAAATGCTTTGAAAATTGGTCGGTACAGATTCACTGTCTTTATCTGGCATAGACTTATGTAAGCTAATTGAGCACGTGGGACTGGTTTCCAGCTATCCAGGTAAATACAACACACCTCTTCAATTTTAGCAACACCAGTCATTCTGATGCAATCCAAGTCCGCAAAAGCTTATAGATTTTTATTGACTTTATCAAGCACTCACAATACACAGATGACAAAAATTGTCTCATCGACAGTTTAGTGTGGGACCAGGAAAATCTAAGAAGCATTACGTGACAAATATGAGCTTGCTGAACAAATATTTTACTCTAAATGATAAAACTGAAGACAGTGCAAAGAATGTTAGCAAAGTCGTAGATGATCTCATCATTTCTTGCACTGAACTTGGTGAGTAAACAGCAAAGAAACACTCTGGAACCATCATTTCTGAAAAGACAATTCAGTCTTGTAAGAAAAAATTCTCATGGTTAGTGGGAGTTGGTGAAGGGATATATAAGAGACTGAAGTGCAGCATTTGCATAGAGAGAAAAGTAAGAAGCATATGGGTGAATGAGGGATCACCTAATATTCAGAAGAACAGTATTGAGAGGCATGGGCTGTCTTCAGAATACCAGCAAGCTGAGAAAGGTTTATTGAAAGAATCTGGGGCCAAGAATAAAATGTATGACAGTGATGTTGACAAGGAAGATAACTCAACCTCTATATCAGATAATGACAGTAAATTGTTTCATACGATCTTTATTGTATCAAAGGAGTTGCCATCTGATAAAATCAACAGTTTACTTGAGTTACAGAATTTGAATGGAGCAAGTATCAAATATACGAATTTAAGCTATGTAACAATAAATGATATACAGTCATATATAAGTAGAGTTATTCAGGGGTCACTTATAGAAGAAATCCTTCAATCTGAAACACATGCAATAATGATAGATGAAAGCAGAGATTTATCAATACAGAAACATTTATCAGTATGTATAAAGTATGTGAAGCAGTAACAAAGTTTTTAACAAGTGTAGCCACTGAGGATGGAAAATTCACACCACTGTCAGTCACCTGATAAAATGCCTCACTAACCTCGGGCTTGATCCAGCTAAGATTGTTTCTCTAGCAACAGATGGTGCATCAACAGTGACATGTAAAAAAAGACCAGTGTTGGTGAGCAGATGAAATTAAAGTACTCACCCTTTGCAGTACGAACCCATTGCCTAAACTTAGCTGTGACAGATTCAATTAAAAAGTTGGACATTTAGAGATAATTTTAACTCTTTGTATTATTTCATGAGTGGGTCAAGTAACCATACTTTAAAAATCAACAGCATTCAAAAACTGTTAGGTGAGCCTGAACTTACAATAAAAGAGCCACATAGTATAAGATGGCTTGGGCTTAAAAATTCTGTTGAGGCTTGTGTATGAGAGTTATAACTTAGTCCTAGTTACCGTTTCAAAATTTGCAAAAGAGAAAAATGCTACTGCCCATGGTTTGCACAAATACTTTTCATAATATAAGACAGAGATGCTAGTGATCAGTTACAAAAATAAAATGTGGTATTTAATGAAATACAGCCATTGATGAAGGAGATAGAAATGCTGTAAAGAGCATGAGAGACTGCACAGAACTTAGAAAAGAAGGAAAAACTAGTGTTTTTATAAATGGAGAAAACTTATGAATTATTATTAAAAAATTGAAAATGAATTGTCAGACCTGAAAAAAAGAGGTACATAGCAAGTTTAAAGAAGAATATAAAACACAGATTACAAAAAGAAGACAGTGAGATTTTTAAAGACTTTAGCCTGTTTCTTGAACCAGTGGTGGTAAATTTGGCAGTCATTGGTAAAACTTGCTGGAACCAGTGGTGGTAAAATTGAAGAAGCTCTTGCACTGTGAAATGGAACTGACCAAACAGTAAATGTTGTTCATGGAAGTCTCCAGGGGGAGGATGAACAAAAACAAGACAGCAAACTCTTAGACAAAGAAAAGCTCAAGCAAGATTGGCCCATACTAAAAGGTACGATTTCAAGCTCATACAAACATTTACCTTAGGCTTTATAACATGTAAGAAGAATTTGTACCTTAAGGAGAAAAAAAGGTGGATTGTTGTAAATACTCATTGAAATTTTGATTTTCAGCATTAAGTTGGATTAAAGGAGTAAATATTCATTGACCTAAGTTCTTATCTAGAGCTCTGTTAAAGTTAATATTTAATGCTCTTCTATTTTTGGCTCACAAAAAATGTTGTAAAATAGAATGAAATTAGTTTCATACTCATAATTAGATTTTGTGCTATATTTAAGTTATAAGTTGGTTATTTGATGTGGCTACAGTATTTACTAATGAATAAAAAATTCAGAAAAAACATTTAAGACATATTATTGTAAAGCAGCAGTATAGGAAATATCAGAAAGCTTTCAGCTCATAATAAAAACTTTCATTTTATATACTGCATTCCAATATTAGAGACCTGATCCCCATTTGAATGTACAAGAGAGTAACACAGGAAATAATATGTATTTGAAGTACGGGAATGGGCTCTCCCTGCACATGAAGTGAGGGGATTGGCACCTCCTCACAACACCACTGCCCACAATGATATACTTTAATCCCTCAGTGGTTGAAAAGTAAACATAATATAATGTGTTATTGTCATATACATTCCACAAAACACTGTAAATAAATAAATAGTTCTTATATTGTTAAAACAAAATTCTTCTTCAAGAATATAAGTTTATGAACTAGCATAATACAAAACATTTGAAATGTCAGTTTTTGGACAAATGTTAATAAAACATATCTAAAGACACTTCGAAGTAAGTAAAGCAGTTCCATTAAAAATAAAAATATATGTTTTGTTAATTGTTCTTTTGGGGAATTTATTGTCCATAGTTTTTCATAAAAGTTTCTTGACCTGAACAGTGTCCATAGATTTACACTGACCTCATATTCCTATTTTCTTTATAACATATCTTACTATCTATATACAGTATACCCTCACCTGTTTGCGGTTCCCCATTCGCGGCCCCGCATATTCGCGGGTTAGGCTCTTAACCCTATTGCATCGTATGCCGGTATACCGGGCTAGCGTCATAACGTCATAAAAACGAATGCTCGGTAAACCGGGTTTTTGTAGGTCATAGAGACTAAAAGTGCTTTTCGAGGGTATGTCTGTATTTACTCTCTCGAGCAGTTTTATCGATTGACGTCTTCATCGAACAATGGGCTGGGCTGCTATTGGCTGACTGCCTCAGCTTCCCCCACAACACAAACGGCAAAGCACAGCCGTTAACGCACTACACACAGCGCTCGGTCCCGAGGAGGCTAGGAAATAGGTTTGAATTTAGCCAATGGCTGACAGCTTTAGTTTCTCCTTCTTGCTGATTGGCTGCATACGTGTGCTGCTGATCAGCTGTTTCTCTCTTTCTCTCATTCGCGCGTGAGTTTTCAACGTGGTTGTTTGGGCTGTAAATTCAAGTGTTTATTTTTACAATATTATTTACACCCTACAATGCCATTCAAATGCCCTACACCTCCAGCTTCTGGCAAGGAACCTAAGCACCAGAAAAAGATTATGACCTTGCATGA